ATAACGGATGGTGGGTTCTAAGCGTTGGCGGTGTTGGGAATGAGAGGAATCGGCTGCCCCTTCTTATTTCCCTGCTTCAACTTGGCCTCCTCCTCGCGGATCTTCTGCATCGCGAGCATCCTCTCCATGACGAGCTCGTACTCGCACTTCTCGTAGGTGTGGCGTTCGTTCTCGCACTTCCACGGGAGGTAGAATTCCGCCTGCCTGCACTTGTTCAGAGGGATCAGCAAGTGGGCGCACTGGTCTCTGTACGGAATCGGCACCCGATTCTCCACCATCTCCGCCTGCGTCGCTATCATCTTCTTCGACGTTCCCTCAGCTGCCATTGCTTTGAAATATTCAGCCCCTTTTGGTTCCGGGTGCGCTGTGATGGTGGTGGCTTCCGCGGTCCACGCCGGCTTTCGGTGTCGGAGTGTTCAAGGTCGTTCCAGAGTGCGGATTCGTATTTTAGTTACCATAATCCACCGTAACAAATACCTCTCGTTCTTGCTGGTTTCAGTTTTGTTTTTTTGTTTTATTTTTTTTTCAGTCAATGAAGAAAAATCGGGAAGTTTTCTGGTACATTGGGCTGTGCGGCCCAGATGAAGCCCAATGGACAAAAATACCCCTAATCGGATGGATTACTCGACAGAAGTACCGATGGGAGGAGCATCGGCCTTCCTTGAAGTTTGGGGAGGCTCATAACCAAAGTGAAAATTCAAACGGAAAAGTGAAACGGTTGTCCCAAAACGAAGAAAGAAAAATAAAAAAAAGTAGGCCACCGGATTCTTATGGGTTGGAAGTAGTTGTAAGGAATGGAAAGTGTGCATGGATTGAATAATCAAAACTTGTAAAGAGCAATGCTCAACTTGCTTAGCTTCTACACCAATCTGAAGTTGCATTATATACCGTCAAAAACTCAATCGAATTGACTGAAAATATGGAGCCATCTATTCCGATGCACGATGAAGATGAGGCGCAGAGGCCGCCTTCAAAGAGGTTGGTTGTAAACTTTCGCCGAAACTCCTGGTGATTCTATGTTTATTTGTATATACGCGGTTTTTATGTGCTCTGGTTTGGTTAGGTTGGCGAACAAAGTTGCAGTCGTAACTGGGGGTGCACGAGGGATTGGAGCTGCCACAGCCAAGCTATTCGCTCAACACGGAGCGCACGTCGTTGTTGCTGATATACTCGACGAGTTGGGAGCTACACTGGCTGATTCTATTGGCGGCCGCTACATACACTGTGATGTGTCAAAGGAAGCTGATGTTGAATCAGCTGTCGAGCTTGCACTCAAATGGAAAGGCCGACTTGACATCATGATCAACAATGCCGGTGTTCCCGGTCCCCCGGGGAGCATAACCAGCCTCGACATGAAGCAGGTGATGCACCTCCTCTCAGTCAACGTTCTCGGGGCTGTGCATGGAATAAAGTACGCTGCAGCGGCCATGATCAACGGTGGAAGAGGAGGGAGCATCATTTGCACATCGAGCTCGGCTGGTATCATGGGAGGCCTCGGAGGACATGCCTACACATTGTCAAAGGCGGCCATCAACGGATTGGCAAGAAGTGCCGCGTGCGAGCTGGGAGTGCATGGCATTCGCGTGAACAACATTTCCCCTCACGGGGTTCCTTCGGAGATGCTCGTCGATTCCTACAGATGGCATCTCGGGAAAATGGACATGACGGCAGAAGATGTAGGCAGAATTGTGGGAGAGAGGGGGAGCTTGTTGCGTGGTAGATGGGCGACCGTGGAGGATGTTGCAGAAGCTGCATTGTTCATGGCCAGCAAAGACGCCGGGTTTATAACCGGACATAATCTCGTTCTTGATGGGGGATATACTTCTGCTGTAAGTACCATGAGCTTCATCTACCAGAATAGTGATAAGGATACCGTGTAATTCAATGACGGATCATAAAATTACAAGTCAAATTCTAAATAAAAAGTTATTGGGACAACCAGAAGGATAGATGTGATTATATCATCTATAAATCTTCTACAAAACTGTTTTCCTTCCAACGACAAGCAGCAAACACAGAACATGGTTTGTTGAATCACAATTTCAAAACTACGAAAGTAAATGCTCAACACGGCTCGTTTGGGAAGGGAGAAGTAGCCTTTCCCGAACCTCCAAGGCGAGAGTTAATATCAAGCTGCAGATCTAAATCTTGATGTTAAAGTAATCAGAATCAAAGTGATGTAGACGTACGTAACCATCCTCACCTCCGCTCGAGAAACTGTTAAAGAGAATAAACAAAAACCCAAAATATTAAGATAACCTCAAAATCGCAAACATCAAATTCTTTTTCTTTGCAGGAAAATTATGTCAATTCATACAGGCTGATGATAAGTTAAAACACATCCATCATCAATTGATAACAAGGATACCATTATTACCAATTTACGTAAATAAGATGTGTAATGTTTATGCACGATTTCATCTCGATTTAAAACTAAATTAGATCTTCTAGCTAAACAAATAGTTCATGTAAAACTATATCGCAAAGGGCATGAAAAATGGATCAATCAACATTAGCAAAATCAATATTGCACAGACAAAGGTAATAAGGAATTCCTAAACTATGTAGCAAAAACTATCTAATGGTAATCAAATCCAACTCTAGTTAAGAAGAGTTTGATCGTTATGTATTCACAAATCATGAAACCAACAAAAGTAGTTAAAGAGTACGAACTAACTATACCTTTTTCCATCGGGATTAAACGCCAAAGCATTTATAGGTCCAAAATGTCCTTTAACACCTCCAATCTCTTCTTGAAGAATCTATGTATATGAAATTTTAAATAAAAAAATCACTTACTGAAGAGACAGCAACCAAGAACCTTCATGCTAAAGACATTAAAAATAAAAAAAAGTAATATCGTTTACCTTGTCATAGAATTTGGCTTCAAATTTCCCAGAACGATGATCAGTTGTGGTGACCATTGATGCATCTTGACCACCACCAAGTACCACCTGGATAGCCAACAAGGAATTTTGTTTTCATAAAAATAATTCTTTTATAATGAACCAGGAAAATAGTGCATATCTATGAGATACAAAGGAATACGCGTCTTTAGTACATATCATCATTCACCAAAGTTAAAACTAGCAATTAACTCACAAAGTTACAAACTATTCAGTACGTGTATGTGAATGATAGAAAGCATTTAATCGTATTTGTACTAACTCCACTTTTATCTTAGTATGTCAGCAAATTATTGAATCAAAACAAGTTGGGATGCAAATGAGAGTTTTAGTAAATGAAATACCGAAAAGACAACATTTTGGAAACATGCAAGATAATGCAAACAAAATTGAGATTACAGTTACATACATGATCACAAAGAGGAGACATTGCAACGGCATTGACTGGACGCTCTGTCACGTAGGTCTTGATAAGAGTCAACGTTCTAGTATCCCACAGCTAAAACATATGCAACACAAAACACAAAACACAAAACTCAGTAAAAATACGAAACCTATATACAACTCTGTTAACAAAGTAGGAAGATTATCAGATGCATTACCTTGGCAGATTTATCAAGCGAACCGGTGAGGAAATGGGTACCATCTACAGATTTTGCAAGTGAAGTTATGGTCTTTTTGTGACCCACTTCCGGATCATTCTCCTTAAGTAGCTTACCAGTCTGCAAGTTAATCCAAAACACTTAGAGCCAATCAAATTAAAGAAAAAGCTTTCAGATTTCCAATGCAAGTATTGAATAACGTCACGGCAAGCCAATGTACAATGTACACTCACCTCAGAATCCCAAATGCGAATAACCGCGTCTTCTCCAGCGCTTATGATGGTTCTGTTCAGAGGGCCCCAAACAGCTCTGTTTATTCTTCCCTGAGGTCCCTTGAGTATCAGAGCCGATTCCCCAACCTCTGAAAGTTCGAATCCGCCGATTATTCCACATCCAATTTTAGATAAACCCAAAAGCAATACAAAAGGAGTGGGAAAATCAAAGAAGCTTACGATCTTCGGGGTCACTGGCGATGCGCTTGACGTGAATCGCCGACGTAACGTCCATGAAGGGGTCGGTGGTGATGACGGCGAGTTTATCGCCGACGGAGAAGTCGACAGCCCTCGCAGGCGAGTCAAAATTGAAGGTGAAGAGCTGCTGACCGGTCTGAACGTTCCAGAGCTTGGCAGTCTGATCGGCGCTGCCGGTAATGAGGCGGGCGGAGTCTCTAGACACATCGCAGCACCAGACGGCGCCGTTGTGTCCACGGTAGGTACCGAGGCGCTCGCCGTTGTCGGCGAACCAGACGGTGGGGTTGTGGTCCTTGGCGCAGGAGAAGAGGAGGTCGCCGTCCCTGTTGTATTTGAGGAAAGTCAAGGGCCTCTCGTGCCCCTTCATCAGGATCGGCCTCATCGTCGGAGTCGGAGAAGGAAGGAATCGGTGGAGAATTAGGGTTTCGAAGGAGTAGGGATGGCGAAGGCAGATAGGCGGATTCAGAGGAGAATTTTGGAAGGAGGTGGAAGAATGGTTTAGGTTTAAGCCAATTCGGGTTGAGTTAGTTAGACGGAGCGTGGGTCCGTCGGATTTTGGGAATCAGAAATTTAGGCCCAAGCTTGGCGTTACGAAATATATTTACATCAAATTGTATACAGATACCATCCTTACAAGAAATTAGACAAATTTAAAAATTTTAAGACGTTCATTTGTAATAAAGAGGACGAGCCTTAATACAACGAAAATGTTACTCATGTGTGACCAAAGATCACGGGTTTGAGTCTTAGAAACAGCCATTTTACAAAACAAGTATAAGATTGCGTACGATAGACCCGACCCTTGCAAACTGGAAAGTCTTGTAGACTTGGAGTCGCCCTACGATTCTACAAACAAACCCTGAACTTTTAATCCAAATGGTCATGTAGTTTCAAATTTTTGTGATTTTTGGCAATACATGATTTTTGAGGTAAGACCTCAAATATAAACAGTTCGAATTGATAAAATACATTACGAACTGATCTCCACATAAACGTGTGAAAAAATTGTGAAAAAAAAATGAAGTATTACGGATCCATTCCCATATAATTGTGGAAATAACAGCATCTTGGAAACATGTTTCACATCAGAATTCAATCTATGTATACCAATTGGAAAACAATGCCTTGTCGAAGAAGAATATCTTAGGCAGCAGCAAAAGCCTTCTTCTCTATGTACTTTCGGGAAAACACCATGTACACCACCAAATTTAAGAAGCTGAGTCCAGCTAGAAGCCAGTAGAAGTAATCGAGATGGCCCTCGTTCAAGTTATCCGGAATCCATCCAGCCTTCCCGCCCTCGGTCGTGATGGCTGTTACGATCGTCAGAATCAATGAGCTGAGGTAATTTCCCAATGAATTCGTCAGCAGCGACAAGGCGCTGCACAAACTCCTCATCGCGTCTGGTGCTTGCTCGTAGTAGAACTCGTGTTGTCCAATGAACGTGAAGACCTCTGCGGCGCCTAACAAAAAGTACTGGGGAATTTGCCAAAGTATACTCAGTGGAACAGCAACCTTTTGGTGGACCAAACCGAGCTCCCTGGCAAGCTGCAGTCGCTTAATCTCTAACAATGCAGCGGCTGCCATGCATAGAATGGACACGAACAGCCCAATTCCCATCCGTTGCAGCTGTGAAAAGCCCCTCTCCTTGTGTATATACCTTTTAGCGATTGGGGTGATTATGCTATCGTAGATGGGGACCCAGATAATGACACTTACGAAATCAAAAAATGAGAGAGAGGCCGCAGGAATGGTGACAGAACCCACGGTTCTATCCATTAGCTTCCCTTGTACCACAAATAGTGTTGACATTTGGGCAAACACAGCAGAGAACACAATTCCTGTGGCCCAGATAGGAAACATGCGGACCAAAATCTTCAGTTCCTCTACCTGTGTAACGGTACAGAGCCTCCACGGATTGGAGAAGTTGCCATATGCAATCTCGGTGTCTGTGATTAAAGTAGCTTTATCAAGGCACCTGCAGCAAAGACATGGTAGATTAAAAGTACTCTGTACTCCAGAAGCAATGTTTCGTGAAATATGCAACCGAATCCTGGAAAATTAAAGAGAAGAGGACTACCTCAGTTCATTGCTGTGCTCCAGTTTACGGCTCCCTTCAATGGCAGAACATTTATCTTGTGCTTCATAGAGAACACTGTCCTCGAGCACCTTCACATTCTTTTTACGGAACGCTGCAACCAAAACCTGGAATATTCTTGTTAGAGGGCTTCCGCCTGGTTTCTGAAATCGGTATAGAGGTGTGCCAATCAATAAACTTGCAATACAAACGCCCATAAGCGCTGTAGGAATTCCAAATCCAATACCCCACCCAACATTTTCCTGAATCCACACCAGTAAACTGCTTGCTATAATAGCACCAATGTTTTGAGAAAAGTAAAACCAGTTGAAATACGACCCCTTCTTCACTCTTTCCTTGGGATCGGTATCATCAAACTGGTCTGCCCCAAATGGCCATATACAAGGTTTGATCCCACCTGTCCCTAACGCAATCAGATATAGTCCAGCAATCAGTACTGCATACTGTGCAGTCGTAGCCGTAGGGCATACGGAACCAACACATTCAGCAGGTTTAAGTGCTGGAACTGATGCTGAGAGAGTCAGAGTACACATTCCCTGCACGAAATCACAATCATTCAACAAGTGAGGAGAATCGATGCATGAACTTTTATTTTAAACAAAAAACGAAATCATTTCTAATATTTACAATTAAGTAGACTATAGTGAAACCGGCAATTGTCCAATATCTTCCCCAATAGGTATCGGCTAAGATTGCCCCGATGAGGGGTGTAATGTAGCAAGTTCCTTTCCAATTCGTGATACTCGTTGAAGCAACGACAGTTTCTTCGTGCAGTTTGTCAGTGAAATAGTTGACAAGATTGGTAGAAATCCCATAGAAGGCCAACCGTTCACAAAAGAACGTACCTGCATTTTATATATACACACACACTACAACAATTACGAAAAGAACAGATTATCGGACACATGAGAGCAAATGTCAAGGACAGCATGTCACCAAGAATGAAGGAACACGCTTTCCACTGTCCGGTATTATTTTTGAGAGCAGGGTTCCCCTTGGAGTCAACTGAACCATCTCCGGTGTAGAGGCCACCGCCTTCATTCTGGAGACAGAACATAAAACATCGTACAGATCATATAGAACAAAACATGATCTTAAACCAAAGGAAAAACAAAAGCGAGACAGACAGAATGTACGTGATGTAAACTGAGTATGTGTTAGTACAATCCACGCACAAACTTGCAGCGATAGGTATCATATAGAACAAAACATGATCCTAATCCAAAGTGAGTTTTTCTTTTTTTTTTGTGAATGATTTGTTATTATTACGGGGACTATTATAATAATTCAGGAGGAGTTTCGAATCCGAAATGTATGAATCAAATTCAGCGCCCGATCCACTAAGATATTAGACAACATAAGATATTAGACAACATACTAAAGTGAGTTAAAGGTGATGTATTCAATTGAGAATTTGAGAGATTTTTAAGGTCTCTCGAAATCTCAGGGGAAGAGATGAGATTTGTGGATACTTAAGATACACTATAAAATTTCTCCAATTCTCTCTAATTCCTCAACTTTTCCAAATTCTTTACATTCAAATTCTAATTGAATATACCTGAAATGTTATAAACTTTGTTAAAATTCTAATTGAATACACCAGATTTCTAAAGATTTTAATTAACTATCTTAAAATCCTAATTGAATACACATTGAATTTCAAAGAATCACTTAAAATCATGATTGAATATCCTTGATTCATTAAAATAATTAAAATTATTCAAAATCTCAATTGAATGCACTCCTAAATTTGAAGCAAGTCGAAGCTGACCCCTGGAGACTGCCTGGAAGACTTGGTACAATCACTCAGAAAGCAAAAGTCAACTTATTTGCTTCCAAATTTTTTATTTTTAGAAAAACCCAGATTAGTTATACAAATCTATGATTCAACAGCAATTATGGCACGAAAATGAAATCAGACCACTTCAAGATGCAGAAGAATGTACGGAAAGATTGGGGAAATAAAAAAGAAGTAAAAAACAACTCATTCTGATTATTTTGCGGTGCTAAGATTTAAGGAGCAGATGGAAGAGGTAGAAGATTTGAACCTGCAGAACATCTTCTAAGAGTGCTGTCTCTTCAGTCTCAGAAGCCATCTCTCTCTCTCTCTTATATTTATATATATATATCTTTTATTTTTTAAGTGTTATTGATATTTTAAAAATTATATTTTTTCTTTTTTCTTTCTTTTTTAATATAAAAAATTTAAAATATAAAATATAATTTTTGAAATGCTAATAACAATTATATATATATATATATATATCAGATTTCTGTTGTTTCAGAGAATCCAAAAGACGATTAGATAAAAAGAATCAACCTTTTATTGGTTCGTCGCGTGAGCAATAATTGATGAAAAGGTGACGTAATTGAAGGTCCCATAGCCCCCGAGTCCATAGACTTCACTGTCATTCGTTTAATTTGCCGATGACACGCAACAATGGTTGGCCACTCACACACCCCATTACCATCAAGATTCGACTTGAACATAGAGCGTCGGTTGTTGAACGCTTATTTTATCTTTTTTTATGCGGGTTATGATCGATAACGTAAGATTACACAGGCGAAAAGAAGATCGACATATGTTTATGTTAGAAAATACAATTATAAGACAGAGATTTAATGCAAAATGTTAAGGAAAACCTAAGGAAAACTTGAAAAGAGACTTTGGAAAGTTTGGTGTAAAACCAAGCGCATGTTTTTATTTATTTATTTTTTTTTTATCAAAAGATAAATTTGTTAAATTAGATTTTAGATTAATGAGCCGACAGGATTCGAACCCACGCCACGAGATGCAAGAACAACACTTCTCTTCACCATTACTGTAGTAGAGGGGGCCTTTTGTCAAGCGCAACCTTCTAAGATATATACAGTCAACCCACTTAGTAAGATAAGGTTTTGTTGTTATATTAGTTTATGACGAATGAGGCAAAAATGTTGTGCATCCAACTCCCACCAGAAAACTTCAACAGGGCTGCCCGCCCACATCATCTCTTGTGTAGGGTCTTGTACCAATCAAACAACCAAGGAGAAGAAACTCAGAAAGCACGAATGGTTTAAAAATTGCACAACTTAAGGAGAGAATCATTGCGAATAACACACATTTCTTTATAATCCCAAATGACTTTGTTTGAAGGAAAATGCAGAGCTTGTAGCTTCTGTTTACAAATTACCAGTAACAGGGTGATTTATACATAGGGGTTCATCGTCATCAAATCAGAAAAGCATTACTAACACTTCTTCAGTTTCTTCTGTTTGCAGTTTTGAGGGTGTGCCGAAGGCGACACCTCGAGAAAGCCTTAAGAAGCCTTCTTCTTTTTGTACCTCTTGGCACAGACAACGTACACCAACATATTCAAGAGGCTGAGTCCGGCCAAGAGCCAGAAGAAATAATCCAGATGACCTCCGTTTAAGTTATCCGGTATCCATCCAGCCTTCCCATCCTTTGTTGAGAAGTACGTTACAATTGTTAGAATCAAGGAGCTCAGATAGTTCCCCAACGAAGTCGTCAGAAGCGACAATGCACTGCATAGACTCCGCATAGCATCTGGAGATTGGTCGTAGAAGAACTCAAGCTGCCCAATGAATGTGAATATCTCCGCAGCACCCAACAAGAAATACTGTGGTATTTGCCAAAGGATAGTCATCGGTACAGCTACCTCTTTGTCAACCAAATCAAGCTCCTTTGCAAGATTCAACCGGTTAATCTCTACCACAGCAGCAGCCGACATGCATAGCACTGAAAGAAAGAGACCAATACCCATCCGTTGCAGCTCTGAGAAGCCCCTTTCTTTACCAGTAAATCTCCTAGCAATTGGGACAATAAACCTGTCATACACGGGGACCCAGAAAATAACACTAATGACGTCAAATGTTGAGAGGGAGGCTGGGGGAATGGTGAAAGCACCAATAGATGTGTCCATCATCGTCCCTTGCTCCACAAACATAGTTGACATTTGAGCATAAACGGCAGAAAAGACAATTCCAGTAGCCCAGATTGGAAACATGCGGATTAAAATTTTCAACTCCTCCACCTGTGTTACAGTACAAACCCTCCATGGATTGGAGAAGTCCCCAGTTTTGGTCTCAGTTTCTGATATCACAGCAGCTTTATCAAGACATCTGCAGCAAAAACAATGCTCAGAGTTTTAGGAACAATTGACATACTAAACTCTTACAATGCTTTGGACCTCAATAAACTGCCATCAAACTTTTACGTGTAATACAACATGATGAAAAGCAAAGGAACAGATTGTACTAACATAGCACGAAAACAAAATTCCATTTTCTTTTGAATAGCAATTTGAAAATTCGTCATTTAAGTTTTCTGCGAAAATGTGTGATTATGTAAAATCCAAATAATTATTCCCAAGGAAATAACACAGTAAGAAGAAATTTACGTCAGTTCATCACTGTGCTCCAGCTTACGACTTCCTTTAATGGCAGAGACTTTATCTTGTGTTTCATAAAGGAGACTACTGTCTTTAGGGACGTCCAAATTCCACTTACGAAATGTTGCAACCAACACCTGGCACATTCTTGTAACAGGGCTTCCCCCTGGTTTCTGAAATCTATATAGGGGTGTGCCTGAAAAGAAACTAAAAATAGCAATGCCCATAAACAATGTAGGTATACCAAATCCTAAACCCCACCCAGCATTGTCTTGAACCCAGACTATTAGAGAACTCGATATTAGAGCACCAATGTTGATAGAAAAGTAAAACCAGTTGAAGAAGGATCCCTTCTTTACTCTTTCCATTTTATCTGTATCATCAAACTGGTCCGCCCCGAAGGACGAAACACATGGCTTGATGCCACCAGTCCCCAGAGCAATCAGATAGAGTCCAAGGAAGAACACTCCATACTGTGCTGGAGAAGCGGAAGGACAAACCGAATCCACACATTGTGGAGGCTTCAATGCAGGAACTGCTGCAGAGAGCGTCAAAGTACCCATCCCCTACACCAAATAATAATTAGTGAACATATCAGCAAATTTATATCTCTAACCCCAAATATGTATACATATACATATATGTGTGCATGTATACGAGATGAAATTCTATAAGCACCCAAAAAATGGGAAGAAAAAACAAAATTGAAGTTGTATTTACAATGAAGTAAATGATGGAGAAAACAGCAATTGTCCAATATCTCCCCCAATAAGCATCTGCTAAGACAGCCCCGATCAGAGGTGTAAGATAGCAAGTGCCTGACCAGGTAGTTACATTCCTTGCCGCAGAAACGTTTCCTTCGTGCAATTTGTGTGTAAGATAAGTAACCAGGTTAGTGGCAATCCCATAGTAGGCCAAACGTTCGCAACATTCGGTACCTGTAACATAACATATGTATTACAATCACGTAAACATCTTTGATGCACAAGAGCTATGTATAGTGAAGAACAAAACATCACCTAGAATGAAGGGGCAAGCTCTCCAATTCCCAGTATTTTGTTTCAGAACAGGATTCCCCTTAATGTCAACTGAGCCATCTCCAGTGTACCGCCCGTCACCTTCTTTCTGCAGATGCAACAGAAACAAATCATGTGAATAGTGTCACGCTGTTCGAAACCTCGTTTACGATTGCTTCCATAGGAAACACTTCTGTTCATAAGTGTGCTTTTATTAAAAACACACTGCCATCTTTATTAATTCAAGAGATTCTGTACGCGTTTCACAGGTAAAGTCGTAAGTGCTTCTGGTGGGTCACCTACTATAAATGCTTCTTAAAAAGCACTTGGAGACGAACAAAAACAATCCCAAACCCACTAATGGCAACAGATGATCAGTATTCAAACGTGAACAGAAATCGCGGGATACCCATCTAACTTCAAATCATTAATTTTAATCATACACCAAAGTAAAATAGCTTCCCCAAAACACCAATTGACTAAAAGTCAATCCCAACTTCCCAATCGAATTTCAGTTTAATATTAAAAATTCAAAATCCCTAACGGCAGCTAAGCAAAGAATCGATTTGTGCCCAAATTAACCCTACATTACTCACATCAAAGATCAAATTTTTGAGATCCAAACATCGAAATCAAACAAAAGATCACAACTTTCAGATAAAAAATTCAAGAGAGAGAGAGAGAGAGAGAGAGGAACCTGAATAAGTCCATCTTCCAAAAGCGATCGCTCCTCCTCCTGAAGAGAACCCATCTCTCTCTCTCTCTCTCTGCACGATCTCTGATTCCGCCGCTCTGCTTCTTCTGCGAGTGCAATACAAATGGAAAATCTGTGTCCTGAAGGACAAAGAGGATCAGAGATATTATTATTTTCCGTCTTGGAAGTCGGAAGCGTGGATGGATAACACAAGTATAAGGTCAAATTATCGAGTTAAGTGTCGTAACGGAAGACAACCTTGGGGGAGTTGGGACTTGCAGACGTCAAATGGCCAGGTTGTTTTAACCGACAAGGGTAAAGATTAAAGATTTTTTTCCTTGAACAACAATCTACTTGGCCAGGTTGTTTTAACCGACAAGGGGTAAAGATTAAAGATTTTTTTTCCTTGAACAACAATCTACTTACCCCCCCCACCCCCCTGGGGGTTTCCGGGCAAACCAAGTGATGTCGTTTTCTTTACTCGACTTGGGCGTAAAATGCTTTTATCTTCGTCTCAACTGCTTGTGTGGTAAGTATTTCTTCGAAAGCGCATTTGTGATCTTTTACAATTCATTTAATATATAGTTTGAAATTAAGAAAGTTACGTGAGAAGTAAAAATATGTGTGTAGATAGTACTATTTTTTCATTATAAATAATAGCAGAAATCACACATGCATGGAATGAAATCCGCTATAGATTTTTGTGTCCAGTGCTCTCGGATTGAGAAATCTGGAGTGTTCGAGAGAGAGAAAGGGATCTTGACCATTCAAGTTTTAAAAATTTTTGTGAAGTAAGCCAGTGAAATGGATTAATAAAGGCAGTAGAATTGAAATTGAGAGATCCGGATTCCTGATCCGCATACTCCGAACGCAAAAATCTAGAGTGAATCTCAATCCTAGCACGTGTGCGAGCAAAGAGGAGACAGAGCAGTGGAACAAAATGTCGGATAGAGAGGGAGGTGGGAGGTAAAGCGGGATCATCTCTGTGAGGAAGAGGAAAAAAATAGCAAACTTTGTGTTGTGTGTGATTTACTATATTGCTCATAACTTTTAATTTGAGTTTGTTATTATTATTATTTTTGTTTGGTTATACAGTTAGAATGGCCTTTTCGTCTATTTTTTTAGTTGACAAAGAGGCTTCTATTAAATAGTAGAAAAGAAGATATTGAAATTTTTATAAATACTAGTTCAATAGCTCGTTTAGAAGTGTTTTTAAAATAATTAAAGTCGCTTTTGGTAAAAATGTTTTTAGAAACTTTACCTAAGAAAATCTTTTTGGAACTAATCTTTACTAAAAATGTAAGTGAACACTTAAAGTACTTTTGGAACCAAAAACATTTTCTCTAAAATCGTTTTTATGTCATTTTAAAAGTGCTCTTACAAATGAATGATTTATCAAGAATCGCCTAGTGAGTTGTTTAACAACTTAAAAACGTTTTTAAGTTTTCCATCAAATATAGTCGTAAAGCACTTTCGCGAATGGACCGTTTCGAGGTATTTCATTACATATTGATGGCAAATTAATTCTCTTTCCTATACAATTTCAGTACCATATGATATCGTTTTTTTTTTATTCACTTGTATTTAATTTTCTTCCAACTAATAATTTTCTCAAATCATATATATTGTTTGACATCATAAGACCTTTGTCTAATTTTCATGAAATATAAATCGCGTGTTTGTATAAGGCCTTCATCAATAATAATGTGGTATGAACTCGCAATACACATAATTCAAATGTTAGAGTTTTAACTAAAAAACAGAAAAGAAAATTTTTTTATCACTATATCGTATTATTAAGAAGTAAAATGAGTAGTGCACTGTAAAAAAAAATTCACACTGGTAAAACCCATAGTAGTGTCATGTGTGGGGGAAGGAGGAGTTTGGGTCCATGCCTTCCTGAACACTGGGTTGGACATTCTGGGCCCAAATTGTATAATTATTTTTGGGTCACGAGAAGTAAATTTGAGCCCGTATAAATACAGCGGCCTCTATAGTATTTTCATCCCATGACACGTGTCAAATATATATTGGTCAATTAGCATAACCGGTTTGCCGCGTCCCAAAATGTGAAACTGTAGGAGGTGGTCCGATTGACTGGATGACCGGGTCGCCGGTTTCTGTTCTCCACTTCAAACCGTGAGCTTGAAATCTCTTGCTTTCTATGGAGTCTATGATCTCATGCCCTACGTACTTAAACACCCTTTATTCAGGGAAGAATTTCTCCAACGAAACCATTCGATCTTTATTCTTAACCCATTCAGTCCAACCAAAAGATAAATCTCATTTTTCGAAACTTTTTTTTTTTTAAAACAAAAGTACGAACTTTCATTTATTAAAAAAGGAGCATTACAAATACATATAATGGATAATTTGATCCCCAAAAGGTCCTTGCAAACTAGGTCTAAAAACATTACAATAAAGCATTACTAATAGCAAAGCAATGAGTAGACTTCAAGCATTCGTCCGAACTCATCGGGAACCGTAAGATTACACGTGTTAATAAAATCGTTAAATCTTGTGTTACACGTAGATCGTGTGAGAATAAAATCTCAAATCATATATTGAGACAGAGAGTACGAAACCATAGGTTGATTGCATGACCTAATCACCTCCATAATCATAAAACACCAAGTGAAGTAGATCCAGCAAATCAAAAGGTTTCATACTTCACACATAGATCCAAAAAAGGTAGCAAACTAAAACAAAAATTAAAATCAAACAACTTTCATATAGAGAGCAATCAAGCTAGCAAACGCTCTTAAAAAAAGAAATCAAAACCAAACCCCAAGATAATTCATACAAATTATTAGACAAAAAAAAAAAAAAAAAAAAAAAGGAGTAAAATCATATCGCTGCTTCACACGAGTCGTCAATAACGTAGACAAAAAAAGCAAATAGACAATTCAACGAAGTGGAAAAAAAATCACAGAAAGTTAATGGCAATATTAGGCTATTAGTTTAGGAAACTATATTATACTCAGATATCATATGTCGTATAATTAAGGACAGACTATTGTAACCGAATTGCCCCCTCCCCAAGAAAAAAAAAGCCATGCCTTGTTTTATTTTCCCTTGCTAACCACTCCAAAGGAGACGATTGTAATTAGCCAACTAATTACCTTGGTCATTTGCTTGCTTCAGTTTATGTCACCATTCGTTCAAACTTCAACGTCAAATGCGTATTCAAGGTGGACAACTTTGAGTTTCACCATTTGTTCAAACTTCAACCTCAAATGCATATTTAAGGTGGACAACTTTGAGTACCATTGGTGAATGGTTTTCAATAAATTTGCTCGCTCCATTCAAACAATATTTTTCACATTGATCATTAGTTAGATGTGCATGATAATATTGTTTCCTTATGTTAAGTCACATATTCGACTCCCTCTCATGGTCCAACAACATTGTGGTCATTCATCATTCGATCTTAATCCAACGATAGATAGTTTAAGAGAACATGACTTTGACTATATATATGCTTATGCTCCTACCTAATGTGCTAGTATGAACTGGTAAGCACATACCTGATACATGTGCGCGTAATTTTCCATGGAATTAGTTCGTTTGCAAGTCTAAAAGTTGTTTTGAAATAAAAGGAATATATGTATGTGTTAATGCAAAATGCCCGTTGTTCGTTTGCGTTCATACGTACCAACCATACTGCTCGATATTGACCAGTATTAATTGGAAAATAAACTTTAACTTCAAATCTAATAATTCAAATTAATATATTAAAGATGGAAATTGTTATGGAGACCACCTTTTCATATCATATTTTATGAATTACATGATGTGCCGGTTGATAATTGGATTGTTTTTATAATAATATAAAGAAAGAATTCAATCATCAACCTTCACATTATGTGACTTACAAAATATGATCAAACTTTTTGGCATCACTTATTAGAGAGATTTTTCAATATACTTGAAATATGGGGAGGTGCTCTATATATTATTATACAAGTAGAAGAAATTTTTTATTCCAAATATTCTTCCACTTATATAACAACATATGATATATGTGTCATATTTCAAGCACACTAAAAAAATCTCTCTACCCATTAGAGATTTGATTTGGTCAGTTCCCATAGTTTTATCTTAGAGGGCCATTCTTGTTTCCCCTTAGCTTTTGCTTTGAACGATTAAAGTTCAACGGTTTCTGATGACTTCTAGTCTTGTTGACCACTGCACACAGTACGCACACAGGAACTTAATTATGCTGCATCCAGAATTTTTGCCTAAAATCGTCGTCGTGGTCAATAAAGTTCTGTATTTTTAATTGTTCTCTTTCCATGAAACGATTTGCCACAAAAAATTACATGATTACACAATATATCATCAATAAAAATGAGTATATTTATCAACGTTAAATCATAATCTAATCATCAATTTGTATATCATTTAGTTTACAAAATCATATCTACAAATTTAATCTTCATTTTATTAATTTATTACCAAAGGTTTAAATATTTTTTTTTCTTCAAAAAGTTTAAATGTTCCCAAATGTGTAATGCTTTATTGAAGTGGAATGAAATCATCGTTATTGAAAAAAAAAAAAACAAAAAAAAAAAGGTAACTTATTATAATATTATTTCTGTTTGAATACAATCAAATACAATAGGATTTTTTTTTTCTTCTTGTTTATAATTAATCACTCAATTTTTTTCTTTCAGCTATTTCTAGAAATATTAAAGGCAGGCAGGACAATAAACAAGCCCCGAATTTCCTTGAATGGTGCTGATCATGAGAATCTGGTAAGATTTATCACAGACAGAAGAAACGAGTAAGATATCCCTATAAATACCATATATGGTCTTCAACCCTCTTCTCCAAGCAACCCCAATCTCACTTCTGCAATTCGTATATATACCCCTCTCCCTGCAATCAATTTTTTCTTACCAATTAGCTAGCCAGTTTAATTGTGTGATATCTGCTCTGCCCTAATTACTTGTCCTTCCTCTCTCTCTGCTGGTTTGAACTACCATGGGGCTCTCGAAAACATTCTCAGTGTCCGATGTCTCGCTCCACTCCACCACTAGCTATATCCTAACGTCACCGGCTAAGTATGTATCTCGTTGTTTTGCGTGAATTAATCATGCATGATGCTGCTCCATGACACCTAAGTTTGAATCACCTTTTCCGTAGTATTGTCAGCAATTATGCATGGTTTGCGGTGGCTATATATGTATATAATATATTGATATTAATTAGGGTTTTGGTGGTGCAGGTACAAGATGCCTGAGAATTCAATGCCAGAGGACATGGCGTTCCAAATGATAGACGATGAGCTGAGGTTGGATGCGGACCCAAGGCTGAACTTGGCTTCGTTTGTGACAACATCGATGGAGGAGAAGGCTAAAAGGCTTATCATGGAGTCCCTCGACAAGAACTATGTTGAC